TTTGACTGTGATGTGCCCAGGTATAGTTTTATTTGCATTTTCTTTTGGAGTTTTTATTTTAACCTTTTTGGATCTAAAAATTTAGATTTTCTACCAAATTTTGGAAGTGTTCAGCTATGCATTATTGATTTACTTTTCTGCCTCATCTAATTTTTCTGTCTCTCTCTTCTCCTTCTGGGACTCAAGTATCCTACAGGTCTTTAAAGCTCTGTTCATTTTTCTTCAAACTTTTTTCACTATTTTCTTCAGGTTGGGTGATTTCTATTGCTCTCTCTTCAAGTTTCTCTATTCTACTGTTTTTATCTTTTTTTTTTTTTTTAATGCTTTATCTCCCCAAATCCCCCCGGTACATAGTTTTATATCTTAGTTGCAGTTCCTTCTAGTTGTGGCACGTGGGACGCCGCCTCAACGTGGCCTGACGAGCGGTGCCATGTCCACGCCCAGGATCCGAACCAGTGAAACCCTGGGCTGCCACAGTGGAGCGTGTGAACTTAACCACTCGGCCACGGGGCCGGCCCCTCTATTCTACTGTTTTTAATGTACTGATGAGCCCAAAAGTAATTTTTTTTCATTTTATCATCATTCTACTTTGTTCTTTTTTATGATTTCCATTTCTATGCTGAATTTCCACATCTGTTCATTCATTATGAGAATATTTTCTTTTCCCCCCCGAGCATGTTTATAATGGCTTTTTTCAAATCCTTGTCTGCTAATTGCAACATCTTGGGGAGAGTTTCTACTGCCTGCTTTTTGTCTTGTATATAGATTACATTTTCCTGTTTCTTCATACATCTCATGATTTTTAAAGATTGCATACTAGACACTGTCGATGATACTTATGGAGACTCTGGATTCTGTTGTATTCCTTTAAAGAGTATTATTTTTCTAGCAGGGAGTTAACGTAGGTAGACTCAAAACTCTCACCTGAAGAATCTCTTCAGTTCTTTTAGCTTCCAACTGCTGCTTTCACGCTGGGCCCCCCTTGGAGCTACCCTGCACATGCATGGTTCAAAAATCAGCCAGTTATTTGGGGGAAACTTACATACGTATTTTGGAATTTGCCCCTTGTGATTCCCTCTTTTCCAGAAATTCTCCCCTAACTTTGTAGCTGTTCTGCCAGCCCCAAAATGTATCCTCTGACACCACAAGAAAGACTGGTTTTTTGCTGCCTGCCTGGGCCGTGTACAGATTGTGAAGTGTTTCAAGGCAAAAAGACTCAAGCTTGCAAGTGTCTCCTGTTCCAATTCCCATCATTCAAGGGTAGACTACCTCCCGCTCCTGCTTGCTTTTTGGAGAAATATAGATGTGAATCTAGATATAGATATATACATACATATATCCTATATGTATTACACATAGATACATATTTCTTTTCTTTTTCTTTTTTAAAGATTGGCCCCTGAGATAACAACTTTTGCCAATCTTTTTTTCTTTCTCTCTTTCTGCTTTTTCTCCCCAAATCCCCCCAGTACATAGTTGTATATTTTAGTTGTGCGTCCTTCTAATTGTGGCATGTGGGATGCTGCCTCAGCATGGCCTGACAAGTGGTGCCATGTCCGCACCCAGGATCCGAACCAGTGAAACCCTGGGTCGCTGAAGCGGAGCACATGAACTTAACCACTTGGCCACAGGGCCGGCCCCATAGATGCATATTTCTATATGTATAAAAACACAACTGACTTTTATGTGTTCATTTTGTATCCTGCTAATCTGCTGAATTCATTTGTTAGTTCTAACAAGTTTTTTTGTGGAATCTTTAGGGTTTTCTACATATAAGATCATATCATCTGTGAACAGAGATAATTCACTTTTTCCTTTCTAGTTTGGATGCCTTTTATTTCTTTTTCTTGCCTAACTGCTCTGGTTAGAAATTCCCGTTCTATATTGAATGGTAGGGGTGAAAGTGGGCATTCTTGTCTTGTTCCTGATCTCAGAGGAAAGCTTTCAGTCTTTTATTATTGAGTATGAGATTAACTCTGGGTTTTTCAAGTATGGCTTTTATTAGGCTGAGGGAGTTTCTTTCTGTTTCTAGTTTGCTGAGTGTTTTTGTCATGAAAGGGTGTTGAATTTTGTCAAATGCCTTTTCTGAATCAATGGAGATTATCACATGGCTTTTTCCCTTCATTCTGATATTATAGCATATAGCATTGATGAATTTTTGTATGTTGGATCATTCCAAGAATAAAGCCCCCTTGGTCATGGTGTGTAGTCCTTTTAATGTGCCACTTCATTTGGATTGCTAGTATTTTGTTGAGGATTTTGGCATCAATATTCATCAGGGATATTGGTCTGTAGTTTTCTTTTCTTGTAGTGTCTGCGTTCCACTTTGGTATCAGGGTAATGCTGGCCTCATAGAATGAGATTGGAAGTATTCTCTCCTCTTCAGTTTTTTGGAAGAGTTCGAAAAGGATTGGTGTTCTATAAATGTTCGGTAGACTTCACCAGTGAAGCCATCAGGTCCAGGGCTTTTCTTTGCCAGGCAGCCTTTGATTACTGATTTAATCTCCTTAGTAGTTAGGAGTCTATTCAGATTTTTCATTTTTTCACAATATAGTCTTGGTAGGTTTTGTGTATCTAGGAATTTAACCATTTTATCTAGGTTGCCCAGTTGGTTGGTGTACAATTGTCCATAGTATGCTCTTATAGTTCTCTTTATTTCTGTAGAATTGGTAGTAATATCTCCATTTTCACTTCTGGTTTTAGTAAGTAGAGTTTTTTGTTTTCTTAGTTAAACTAGCTAAAGATTTGTCAATTTTGTTAATCTTTTCAAAGAACTAGCTTTTGGTTTCATTGATTTTCTCTTGTTTTTATAGTCTCTTTTTACTGATCTCTGCCCTAATTTTCATTATTTCCTCTACGAGCTTTGAGTTTAGTTTGTTCTTTTTCTAATTCCTGAAGTTGTAATGTTAGGTTATTGATTTGAGATCTTCCTTTTTAATGTAAGCAGTTATAGCTAAATGTCCCCCTTAGCACTGGTTTTGCTGTGTCTCATAAGCTTTGCTATATGGTGTTTTCATTTCCACGAGTCTCTACGTATTTTCCAATTTCCCTTGTGATTTCTTACTTCACCCATTTGTTGTTTCAGAGTGTGTTTAATTTCCACAAATGTGTGAATTTTCTAGTTTTCTTTCTGTTATTGATTTCTAACTTCATCCTGTTGTGGTGAGAGAAGATACTATGTATGATATTTATCTTTTTTAATCTATTGAGCCTTAATTTGTGGCTTAACACTTGTGGTTTATCCTGAAGAATGTCCCAAGTGCACTTGAGAAGAATGTGTATTCTGTAGTTGTTGGGTAGAGTGTCTGTATATGCCTGTTATATGTGGTTGGTTTATTGTGTTGTTCACGTGCTCTTTTTCCTTACTCATTTTCTGTCTGTTTATTCTGTCCACTGTTGAGAGTGGAGTACTGAAGTCTCCAATTATTATTGTAGATCTGTCTATTTCTATCTTCAATACCATCAACTTTGGCTTCATATATTTGATTGGTCTGTTATTAGGTACATCAATATTTACATTGCTATATTTTATTGCTCTATTGATCCTTTTATTAATATTCTCTATTAATGTCCTGTTTCAATTTCACTGGTTTCTACTCTAATTTTATTATTTCTTTTTTCTATTTATTTTGGATTTAACTTGCTCTTCTTTTTCTAGTTTCCTAAGTTGAAAGCTTATATTGATTTTAGATCTTTCTTCTTTTCTAATGTATACATTCAGTGCTATGAACTTCCCTTGAAGTGCTGCTTTTGCAGCATTCCACACTTTTTTTTTTTGAGGAAGATTAGCCCTGAGCTAACTACTGCCAATACTCCTCTTTTTTCTGAGGAAGGCTGGCCCTGAGCTAACATCCGTGCCCATCTTCCTCTACTTTATATGTGGGATACCTGCCACAGCATGATGTGCCAAGCAGTGCCATGTCCGCACCCGGGATCCGAATCGGTGAACCCCGGGCAGCCAGAGCAGAACGTGCGCACTTAACCGCTGCGCCACCGGGCTGGCCCCCGCATGGACACATTCTCAGTGAGCCCAGATTTCTCAAAAATATTTTTAGGGCCCAACCCTGTGGCTGAGTGGTTAAGCTTGCGCACTCTGCTTCGGTGGCTCTGGGTTTCACTGGTTTGGATCCCAGGCGCAGACATGGCACTGCTGATCAGGCCATGCTGAGGCAGTATCCCACATAGCACAACCAGAAGGACCTATAGCTAGAATATATATCTAGTACTGGGGTGCTTTGGGGAGAAGAAGAAAAAAAGAAAGAAGACTGGCAACAGATGTTAGCTCAGGTGCCAATCTTCAAAAAATATATATATATTTTTAAATGTTTTATTTTAGATGGTAATCTTTAAAAACTTGAGATAAGTATATTCTGGATCTTCTAGATGACCTTTATTTTTATAACCAAGTTGTGTAATTTCTGTGCCCAGTATTACAATACGGAAAGCCAGAAAGCGAAATGTAAATTTCTTGGTGTTTCTTTACTAAGAGTCATAGATTCACCAAAAACCTGTAAGCCTCACTACCTGGTTGACTTGAAATAAGGCTTTGGATGAGGGCTTTAAGTCGCTCAGTGTTTTCTATATCAGTAAGCTGAATGACTTACCAAATATTCATAATAATTGACTTTTTTGTTGTTTAGGTATAATTAACATATAACATTATATTAGTTTCAAGTGTTCAACATAATTATTTGGTATTTGTATCTATTGCAAAATGATCCCCACAATAATCTAGTTAACATCTGTCACCATGCATAGTTACAAAATTTTTTTTCTTGTGATGAGAATTTTTAAGACCTACTCTCTTAGCAACTTTCAAATATGCAATACAGTATTAACTATAGTCGCCATGGTGTACTACATTACATCTCCGTGACAGTATTTTTTTTAGATACAAGGATAGATTACCACAGTAAAAGTAAAATATGCATTTAGGACAGTCTAGTCCAGTCTTACAAATTTACTAGTATGATAGATATTTTCATTTCCTCTCATAATAGATGTGACATCCCGAGACTGACTCCAACACCATCCTGCCCTGAGGCGACCATGAAGCTGGCAGACGCCGACTCTCCCTGTGAGTCGATCAGGGTCCAAGGCCGAACTCTCCGTCAGGCAACTGAACGCACAAGGGGCTTCCAGGTGAATCTGGCTGCTGCTTCATTCCCCAGGGCCACAGGGGCTCAGACACATCTTCCTCTCAGTGATACTGCCCTGTGGTTCAGTAGCCCAGGGTGCTTACCTTTGCTGTTGGGGATTACAGTACCCTCTAAATTAGGGTGGGAGTGAGGAGGGGGTGTATTTGCTAATTACGTAGAGGAATGGTCAGGGGCCAAGGATGGGGAGAGACTCTGGTTGGGGAAGCAGAGTGTACAAACCGTGTGGAACACAGAAGCAGAGCTGGGCGACAGCTCGAAGGTGTAAATCCATGTCCCGTTCTAGATAAGGTGGCATTAAATGTGAGGGGAAATTGTTCAGGCACAGGCAAGCTTTGGCTTTTGGGCTCAGTGCTCTTTGGTTTGGGGAATGATGAGGCCGTCATCTGTTGGCCCTGATCCGGGGTTTGATGCTCTGGGTAAGAGGGTCCCCCTCCCAGGAATCCAGGCCTTTCCCAGTTCTAGAGGATGAGTGGTAAATGTCAAGCTACATTTGACGTGCTTTCCAGAAATCTGCTGCTGAGACCCCCCTGCTGGCAGCTTGCCCTCCCTGGTGCTGAGAGTGACAACAGGAAAGAGTCCCCCGTTCCTGGGCCTGTGCTTCCGGGGTTTTAATGGAACTGCTTTAAAGGAACTGCTTTGTGAGCTGCGATGACTTGGCTGCAGAAAAAGCACATCAGAGCTGGAGGTAGACAGTCTCTAACACTGGCGTGGGGCGGGGTAACTCGGATGGACGCTGGCTGAGGCAATAATGAGTCCTTCGTCACGGAAACTGGCGACCACTCAGGGCTGTAGGGCCTGAGGTCTCATCATACATCACTGGGTTCACGAGAGTCTAAAATCAACCCAATAATTACGATGTCCATTGTTTGTTGAGGGTTTCTTTTTCCTTTTAGGAGAAACGAGAGTGGAGGAGAGGGAAAAGAAAGAAAGCTTAACGGATAACGAGACCGTTAACTGTTACAAATAGCATCATGGCATTATTCGGACTCACAGCTTGCCTAAAGTTGCAGTTAAAGTGCCATTTTCAATGCCCAAATTGCTAATTTGGTTGCTTAAGTTCTTTCTTTTGTATTTTAATTAGAAAACTTCAGTTCAGGACTGTAGGACTTACTATCGCCCCTCACTCCACCCCGTGCCTACTTGTCATTGTTCCAAGAAAATAGGAAACCAGGTTGATGGAACATGTACTAAGTTCCATGAGAGCAGGGAGTGTCTGTCATGCTCACTGCTGTGCCCCAGGGCTCAGCACAGTGTCGGTGCATAGCTGGTTCTCAACAAACATCAACTGAATAAATATTACTTTCCATAGGGCTTTGCTTCAGCTTCTAAAACAAAACAATACTAATAGCTTCTAAGTGACAGCCACTTCTGGTAAGCTTTATACCAGTTTTTCTTGCAGTGTTACATACTTATTTTTAAAGCGGCAACTTATTTATTTCGATTAAGAAAAACACATGAAAATAAGCAATATTTTGTGGGCCCACTTATTCAGTGTCCCAGTGATATCAGACATCCTTAATTTTCAAAGTATCATAGTAATTTCGAAGTATCATAAGTAATTCTGATAAAAGATCCACTGGCAATATGTTTAGACATTCCATCAATGAGATGTGTCTGTTAATCCTTGCAGGCTTAACCCAGACATTTAGAGCAGGTCAAAAGGAACAAGCCAAATAGGCAGCTCTTCTCAAAATCAGGGAGACGCTGTGCTTCGGAAACCTAGATCATAGAAGACTTTGAAAGGACCCTCCTTGGAATGATCCACCTGGCTTTCCAGACTTCAGCTTCTGCCTCTGTGACTCAGAGAGGAGCTCCGCAGTGGCGTGACTGGCCCATCTCATGCCCTCAGGCCCTCTGAGAGAGCAGTTCTTCTCGCCCTCCCGGCTCAAGGAGTAGGTGCTGGCCCCAAGGGCAGCTCATTTACAGGGTGACCCCCATTTTAGGAGGTGGTCTGGTGAGAGCTCTCTGCCCAGCAGGGAGGACAGCAACTATCTGAAGCAATTGGATACTTTCTTTGTGGGGATTTGAATTCGAGACCTGTAGAGACCATCAGCACTTGCTTTTCTGGGCAGAAGCACAGGTAGGCAGAGAGCAGAGGGTAGAAGTGATGAGTCAGGACAAACCATGACCAAGCAGAGGCTGGAGCAGCCCAGTCTCCAAACTGCAGCCCCAGCTCCTGGAGGAGCAAATGCCCGATCTCGAGGAGACAGCCGGTTATTGACTCACAGAGCTGCCGTCCAACACGGGACCCAGGGCTGACCACAAATGCCCCTCCCTTCAGGCCCCACACAGCCTGGTGAGGCTGTTTCCATTCTTTCCCTTCCTGTCTCCTTAGCTAACCTGGAAGAGCCCAATTAACACGTGTAAATTAAGATCTCTCTGGTACTAAAATTCTAGAATTACACTGAGCACAGTAAAAACTCATTAAGGCAGGCCACTTGTTCCAAATTTCTAATTATCCCATTTGGACTAAGCTAAAGTTTATTCTGCTCAGCAAAATTTTATTATAGATAACTCAAAAAGAGAAGGTGCAGAGGAATTATTCAAAAGATTTCAAAGAACAAGCTATTAATTTGTTAATTTAAAACTATTTTATTATAAAAGTTTATTAGTTATTTATTATAATAATAGTTATTTATTAAACATTTATGACCCCAGGAACTTCAATTGCCTAGAATGGATAAATATTGTTAACCTTTATGCTTTTATTTTTCAACAAATATTTACTGATCCTCTCTGTGGGCCAGGTTCTGTGCTAAGCACTAGAACACAGAAACATAGACTCAATCAAATACAGCATGGTACTGTGTGTTTATTTTAAAAATAAAATAGAAGTGTGAGGTAAAAATTACCTTGGACTCTTGGTTTTTGCCCCCCGATGTGCACAGGTGTGTGTGTGCGCGCACACACATACTACACATATTTAATGGACCTTGCCCGCAAGCAGCTTAGAGACTGGCGGGGAGACAGACAAATATATGAACAATGATGCTGCCACGATGGGTGCTGAGATGGAGGTGTGCGCACGGTGTGCTAACAGGAGTGGAAGAGGAACGTCCCAGTCTCTCTAGGAGTGGGTCCAGAGAGGCTTCCTGGGGATAACTGGGGTTGAGGGTTAAGGATGAACCTAGGTGCCCAGGTGGAGAGGAGTGGGCACCCCAGGCAACTACAAGTCGCTCAGTGGGACCGGAGCCCACACGGCACGAACAGTGGGGAGCGCAGTCACTTCTCGTTATCTGCAGGAGTTATGTTCTGTGGACTTGCTGCAAACACTGAATTAGTGACACTGAACTATTGCTCGTAGGGGACACACAGGTTAGGTTCCTGGGAGCCTCCAGTCACAACATTTTTGTCAACCAAAACCCCATGTGTGTGATACAGGTTCGTTTACCAAGATCCGTGTAAAACAAGCCTGTCCTGTCAGCACGGCGCGCCTGCTGTGCCACCCCACACCTTTCCTGCACAGCACTCACCAGCTGTTTCCAAAATCCTCCACAGCCTCCGGATCTGCAGAACCTTCCTCACCAGCAGGTTCAACGTTTTTCACGGCATTTCACCTTTTGAAATGTGCGAGTCAGCCAGCACTAGCTGAGAAGGGTTTAACGTTTACCTGGCCATAAATCTCTTCGGGTTTTCTCACAACAACATTGCCCACTATGCTGTTTTTAATCAGTCGTCATCTCCTGAATCCGGAAATACAGCCGCTTTTCCATCTTCTCCATGGCTTCTCCACACACAACAGACGTTGCTCTAGCACTTTCTGCAGTGGCCTCGCGTTCAGATTGGCGAATTTCCTCTTCCTTTTTCTGGATGTACTGTATGTTGATTCATTAACACTGAGCCACGGCTGACAGTACTGTGACCCGTTCCTGACCAAAGCGCAGCTAACACGCGTATTTTCTCCAGAAGGCACATCACAGCTTTCTCGCCTTTAGGAACACTAGCCAGCACTTCAGCACCTATGCTTTGAGGGCCATTTAAAGATCAAAATCATCAACAAAAAGCACAAAAATATGAAAAACGTGGCACTAAGTAGACGATGAAAAGGATACTTGCTACAGTACGAGAGCTGAAGTGGAAAGCAGAGCGTGCCCTTGTTCAGCCCTGGCTGGGAAGCGCATGTTCGGCGAGTCAGATTTCTGCCCCTCTCTGCTCCCGTCTGTGGATACTGGGAAAGCACCGCGAGTGTTGATTTGGGGTACAAATAAATGTTAGCATGTAGGCAAATTCACAAATACGAAATCCATGAATAAAGAAGATCGACTGTAACGCTAGAGAAGCAGATAGAGGCCTGTTGCTAAGTGGAAAGGCTGCTCTTGTCGCGAAAGCCGTCGTTGCCACTGAAGAGTTTCAGGTAAGAGAGCGGCGTGATCTCTTTGTGGGGACAGCACTTTTTCTAAATGTATCGCATGGCTTGCAGAGAGGAAGACCAGAGACCGGCTGGGAGACGGCTGTCCCAGAAGAAGGTGAGGGGTGAATGAACAGCCAGGGGCACACGTTTGAGGAGGAGCTGACCTGAGAGCCACTGAGTCTGCAGCCCCGGCGTTGCGTTGGGCACGAGCGGCGAGGTGGAGGAAGGAGGACACCCCCCGGTTTCGGGCTTGGGCCTGGAGTGGTGTAGGGCAGTGGGGAGAGCTCTAGCCTCGGAGTCAGAGATACTGAGTTTAAATCTGGACTCCACCTCTCACCAGCTGTGTAGCCTTAGATGTGTTCCTGAACTTCGCTAAGCTTCAGTTTTTTCATCTCTAGCACATAGATTCTATGTGATGGGAAAGTAACGCCTCAGAGTTATTTGGAGATTTAAATAAGTGCTGGTGCTTTTCACTTAAATAAGGAAACTAGGAAAAGGACAGCACCTGGGCTGATGGAGGAGAGGAGTCCCGTTGGACACGGGAAGTTGGATGTGCCCGTGGACGTCCATGTACCAACATCCAGTAGCCATTCGATATGCTCCCCAGAGGCCAGGAGCAGAGAAGCTGGGGTAGAGACAGGCCGATGTGGTGTCATTAGCAGGCAGGCAGCTGCTACAGCTAGGAGGGGCGGGCAGTTCCAGCATCAGAGGTCCAAGGATAAACCCTGGAGGATTCCAACATTTAAGAAGAGCCTGGGAGGAAGACCAAGAGAAGGAGGCAGGATGAGGAGGAGGAGCACCAGGAGAGCGTGGATGATGGCAGGCGGGGCAGGAGAGAGTCCAGGAGGGAGCGGGCGGAGTCAGTGCTCCGAAAGCATCAAGTGAGAGTCACAGAACTCTCGGGCTGGAGGGACCCAGGAGATCTTTGAGTCTAACGCCCTTATCTGTCCTGAGAAGAAATCGACATTCAAAGAGGAGAAGTGAGCTGTTTGAGGTCACACTGATTTCACAGCAAGATACCTAATTCCTAAGGAGAAATAAAATACATTCTTTAACAAATATTATAGATTCAAAATTGTTCCTCTTAAGTCACACTGGACTTTTCCCAATCTGATGAAATTAGTGAGATTGTATTGATGTATCAGAGCAACTGTTAACCTTCCATGTGCTAAGATGCTGTGTAGTCAATCTGTGCAATAAATCTTAAATCTATGTATAGTGTACATTTAAGAAATCATGCTCTAAAACGTTTACAAACAACAAGAGTCATAACTCATGTTAAAAATTAGACAACAGGTCCAAAATGGAGTCACTTATGCTAAGCCCCACTTAATTGTGGTTTTGGCTCTCCCAGGAATGGACTCTTAAACCAGTCAATCAGGAATCACCTGGTCAGCACTAGGTAGGTAATCTGCCTGAGAGATTCCAGCCATCCCCTAAAGGAAGGTGACCTTGCAATAACCAGCCTGCATTTTGCCAGTGTAACTTCCCTGTCCCTGCTCCCTTCTGCCTATAAAAGTCTTTCATTCTGTACAGCTCCTTTGTATCTGCTAGACTGAATGCTGCCAGATTCCTGAATTGCTGAACACAGCCAGTAAGATCTCTAAAATTCACTCAGTTGAATTTTGTGGGGTAAAAGCTTGTTTGTTTTGGTGAGGAAGATTGGCCCTGAGCTAACATATGTTGCCAATCTTCCTCTTTTTGCTTGAGGAAGATTATCGCCGAGCTAACATCTGTGTCAATCTTCCTCTATTCTGTATGTGGGACGCAGCCACAGCGTGGCTTGATGAGCAGTGCTAGGTCTGCGTCCAGGATCAAGACCCTGGGCCGCCAAAGTGAAGCTCAAGAACTTAACCCCTGCGCCACCGGGCCAGCCCCTGAATTTTGTTTTTAACACTCATCAAACTGTATATTTTAATTTTAACATATGTAAATTATACTTTAAAAAAAACTGAGTTTTAAAACACAGAGCAAATAAAAAGTTTAGCTATTTAAACTAAAAAGTAATTATTTTCTAAGTTATTTTGTACACAAAGACCTAAGGGGTAGAAATATTTGAATGTTTGGAGCTTGATCCTTCTTATAGCTTTTAGGGAACCACTTATTACTCTTCTTGGTTTCCTTCACAACGAAACGGGAATAATATCATCTTGTAAGACTGCTCATGGTTTATTAATACATGTGAAATTCTTGAGTAAAAACATTAAATACTTGATATTTAATATCTGGTAAATACCATCTAACTACATTTATAAATAATAGCACTTTTACAGCCAAGTTGGAATTACAAATTATAGCCCATATACAAATATATGCATACATACATACACTAGTAGGAAAAGAAATCCACAATTATCAATGAACAAAGAAAATATCTTTCATATAAGATTATTTCAATTGATCAATATAATAAACAAATTCTGTGACTGACCATTTTTAACTTAATTGTTTAATGTCATTTGGGCCCTACCTAACTTATGTAAAATTGTATATGATGTAATAGCAGGAAACTAACAACTGCTGGCTTTTTTCCAGTTAATGAAGAGAACCAAATGAGGAAAATGTCCTGAAGATAAGCCATTTCATTTCCTCAAAACGTACTTCTGCTTCAGGAACCCAGGAGGACACAGTGATAGAGCTTTGCATTTCTAGAGGAAACATTCCTATAAATCAGGGTTGCTCAGTCTCAGCACTAGTGAGATTTGGGGAGCTTTGCAGTGGAGGGCCGACCTGTGCACCATAGGACATTTGGCAGCATCCCAGGCCCCTACGCAGTAGCTGCTCCCCTACCCCAGTTTGTGACAACCAAAACCATCTCCAGACATTGCCAGATGTCCCCTGGGGGGCAAATCGCCCCCGCTTGAGAACCATCCCTACAACAGCATTTCCGTGCCCAAGTGGGCCCACTTTTACGTGTACTGGGGACACAGGTCCATAGGTGGCAGTGAGTCTTTGGTTCCAACCTGGCATTTCCCGCTAGTTGGGCAGATGCAGCGTCCTCCAGATGCTTGGACCTCTCTGCTCCCCCTCCAGGCAGAAGCAGAGGCGCGGCAGGGGCTGTCTGCACGGCACCTTGGAGGAGCTGTGGCTGCGGGCAAACCTCGTCTGCTCAAGTACTGCCCGGGCCCTCCGAGGACTCACGACTCACCTCCCTACCCTCTGCAGCCAGGGCAGCCTTTTGGTTTGTCCTCGCTTTTCCAAACTAATTATCTAAAAAGTTTCCTTTACCTTTATGTTATAAACACGTTGACGCTTTGCCAAACAAAAACCTAATAAAAGATCTATCTTTGAGTTTTCTATTTTCATACATAAAAAAACTTGAAAACAACAGACCAGAGGAAAGACTGTGTAGAGAAACATAAAGAAAATGGTATCATAAAAAAGAGGTAGCGGGATCTTAGAGCTGAACTCCCAACACAGTCACACTAGCTACATTTCAAGGTCTCAGTAGCTGCACTGGCTGGTGGCTGCCATATTGGACAGCGCAGACATGGACCATTTCTGCGACCACAGGAAGTTCTATCAGACAGTACTGTCCCAGAGAGTATCTGGGTCACAGGCTTTATTTTACAGATGAGCAATTAAGTCCTAGAGGACATATAAAACAACCTAGCTAAAAAGAAACCGCGAGCTTGTGGCCGCACCAAGACTGGAAACCGGAAGAATTAAATTCCCCTCCTGTGCTCTTTCTTCCACACGCTGCCTCACGGTCAGTCCAAACTTGGAATACCACATGAGGTTTTCACCACTGTAGCTCAAAAATGGGGGTCAGAGGTGGGGAAAAACAACTCCAAACAATTAAGAAGATGGACCAAGTCTAAATAAAATTTTAATCCAGCTCAACAACCATATGTTGCATGCCTATGCCTGCCATGTACTAGGAACTTGACTCTGGATATAAAGTTAAAAAGAAAACAAGAATCCCTATCCCACTGAAAAGCACTCTGTCAATACCACGGTCAGAGCAAAGACGAAGGTGAGCGGGGAGCCCAGCCTGGGTGGCGGAGGAGTGCGGTAGGGCGCACTCGCTAGAGGAGACAGCATCCAGGTAAAGAAGGCAGGAGATGCGCCCAGGACGAGGGAGCTGGATGCCTGAGACACAAGAGAGCAAACATGACGGCGGCCTGGGCGACTTCCACGACTCTTGGGCCTCAGTTACACTCGCCTGCTAACAGCGGCAAACCCGCATGTCAGGGCAGATGGCTGCCTCTGCCCCTTGGCCCCTCCCACAGGAAGTCCCGCCTCAAGGCAGCGCTTCCGGTGGGCCTTCCCTGCACAGGCGCTCCTTCTCATCCCGTGGCTCCCGCTCGAGCGCTTCTCATCCTCTGTTCCCGCCTTGCTCAGTGGTGCCCCTGTCCCCACAGGCATAGCCCTTCTGGGGTCTGAGAACCAGCCTCTCTTTCCTCTCTCTCATGCCCTGTATTCGACCTGTCACCAAACTCCATTACCATTGCTGTTCCAGCTCTCATCATCTTTTTTAAAAAATTAATTTTATTAAATTATATTCATTTTAATAATTAAAATTATTTTAATTAATATCTAGTTATTTTAATTGAGATATAATTCACATACCATAATATTCATCCTTTTGAAGTGTACAATTCATTAGTTTTTAGTATATTCACAAAGCAACCATCACCACTAATTCCAGAACATTTTAATCATCTCCAAAAGAAGCCCCATACCCATTAGCCGTCACTCCCCACTCACCCTCCTCACCTATCCCTGATGACCAGTTCCTTTCTATCTCTGTCGACGTGCCTCTTCTGGACATTTCATATAATGGGATCATATAATCTGTGGTCTCTTGTGAGTGGCTTCTTTCACTTAGCATGATGTTTTCAAGGTTCATCCATCTTGCAGTGCATACCAGTACCAGTACTTTATTCCTTTACGGCCAAATGATATCCCACTGTATGGATATCCTACATTTATTTATCCTTTCTTCAGCTGATGGACAATAGAGTTCTCTCCACTTCGGGGCTATTATGAATAGTGCTGCTATGAACATTCCTGTACCCGTTTTTGTGTGGACATAAGGTTTCGGTTCTGTTAGACATCGCATCATCTCTCAGTAAGACTAGTGAATGAACTTTCCAGGCTTATCCTGTCAATCCACTCTCCAACTTAATGCTGGAGTCATTTAAACATGTAAATCTTCTGAGTGTGTCAATCAGATCATGCTGTATTTAAAACCTTCCAATAACTTTCTATGGCATTGAAAAAAAAAAATGCAAAGACCTGAACGTGGCTTCCTCTTGCACCTCACCTCCCAGGGGGGCCGGGTGTTGGGACCATCCCTCTGTTCTCTCCAGCTGCTCTTAGGGAAGTGAGGCCGCGGGGCCACCGCAGCCTGAGCAGCTGCCGTTGGTGGTAGCACTATCTGCATCTTCCTTGTCCCCCAGCCCTCTGCCGCTGCTGAGACAACCTGCAGGGACCAGGCTGCCCTGCTGCGGGCTCTCTTCTCTCCTGGGGCCGTTCCTGAAATCCCCACGCCACAGGACCCAGACTGTCAGAGCCTAACGGGGCCTCCAGCACGTCCAGCCTGGTGATTTCCGAGCTGTGCTCTGGGGAGCCCCGGGCCCTGGGAGAGGAGTCAGCTGGGGATGGAGGACATGAAGCCCAGTGGGCAGGGCACTGTAGGATGCATTTCAGTTAGTTTTTGTTTGAATAAGATTTTTATCTGCTGGAAGAAAAAAATATATTTGAGAACAAATTATTTAATCCAACCGTCTTCATTTATAGACAAGGAAACGGCCCAGCTCTTCTCCTAGACAGAAGCCAGGCAGTTGCTCCCACCTGTGAGTGTCCCCGCAGGGCCCTGCTCCCCCAAGATGCCTGGAGCGTCGGGCAGTGCAGTCAGGGCGCCCGAGGAACGCAGGAGCGGTTCAGGAGCAGAAGGACAAACGCTAGAGAGGAAACGAGACGGCCAGATTTCAATCAAAGGTAAAAAGAGGGGCGCAGCCTGCTGGGGCCTGGGGCAGAGGCGCGCGAGGGAACCGCCCTGCTGACCACTCGCTGCCAGCAGGCGCAGGCGGGAAGTGCTGCCTCAGAAACAGCCTCCGAGATGGAGAGAAGAGGCTGCGTCATGTGCCCAGGCTCCACCGAAAGTTTCGCGGGGTAGGGGGTCGTCCCAGAGACAAACTTAAGAGGGAAGGAAAAGAAAGGCTGTGCGTGAAAGTCACCGAGGGGCTTCGGAAGGCGAGAGGCTGGGCTGTCATCCTTCCTGTCCCTCCTGGCTCCTGACCGCCCGAGCAGCAGCTGCTGGCGTCCAGCACAATTTTTCAAACCAATTAAGGAGAAGTCTTGCGGCCCCGGGAGGGAGTGCTGTCTGACTCTCCTCCTGAGTCAGCAGGCTCACATCAGAACCTCTGGCGACACGATCTGACGGCTCTAATTGATCCTTCATAGTTAAAAATAAAAAGCAGCAAGCAGCTACTCTTTGCCTTCAAACTGCTGCAGGGGGGTCTCTCTTTTCAGCCGAGGTTTTCCATCATCGGTGCCAGAGAGCGGCCTCCCCACCGGCTTAACTGTCTGTGTGCCGTGCGCATTTTCCTTTTCTTTGCGCTGTCTCCTGCAGGAGGCCTCCCGTCCTGAGCTCATCAATTAGCCGTCCCATTTGCCAGAAGGGAGTTACATCTGGCGTGACGATATTGCTGTTCAAAACTAGGAAGCCCAAATCTCTCTGGCTGGGAAAACTCAC